ATGAACTATACAGAGACGAGATTAAAAGAAAATACCACGTAAACTTTTCTGAAGACGGTCAATTCCCCTCAGAAACATTCATATAAACCCCCAAATCAATATTGAGTAAACTCCTAAATTAGTTCTTGCATCATGAACAGTGAGTGATCTGCCTGCTACAGTATTTTTCTCTGTGCTTCTATCTTCATTGTCTCTGGCCGTCCGTCTTCAACGTCTACAGACTTCATATTTTCACATAAATTACATTTTGGAAAACAATTGCATAGCAACGCAGTTCGCAGTTTATGTATAAAATATGAATTTATTTAATACACGAGTTTCACAATTTGAGTTGAATTAATGAAATAAATGAACTTTTCCACGACATTCTAATTTATTGAGATGCACCTGTATATTCAAAATATGTGTTTCAAAATATTATTTTGAAACAGTGAAATTTTCAAATCGCGGTATACCTTGAAACCGGTAATCGGCCCATGCCTATTTTAATATATGGCCTATGGTTTGAGTAATTATCACACATGCCCTTATAAAAACCTAGACATACACTACCGTTCAAATGTTTTAACAAAGGTTTATACGATTTTAATGTTTTTGAAAGAATTCTCTTATGCTCACTAAGGCTGCATGTACAATATAAAATAAATAGTAAAAACAGTAATTACAGTAACAGTATTACAATGTTTCTATTTTAATATATTTTAAAATATAATTTATTCCTGTGATGGCAAAATTTTCTTCAGCCATTATTCCAGTATTCAGTGTCACATGATCCTTCAGAAATCAATATGCTGATTTGCTTATTTGCTGATTTGCTTGATGTTACTCTAACTGACCTTTGAATGATAGTGTATGTTTTGTTTAAGTTGTTAATTACATTGTCTACATTCTCCTCAGCTCGTATGTGTTCCTTTGAGCTGGCGTGTGTCTATGGTGCTCATCGTGCTGGGCAACACCGTAGTGTCTGTCTTTATCGAGGTAAGTAGGGACGTCAGACTGTTACATCAGCCACATTACTTGTTATGGATATTCACATATGAAAATAAACTGCATTTCAATATGGTATTTTTTGTTAAATTCAAGGTTGGGGAATTAAAGGGTTAGTTCACCCAAAAATGAAAATTAGGCTGTGTTTTACTCACCCCCAAGGCATCCTAGGTGTATATGACTTTCTTCTTTCAGACGAATCCAGTCGGAGTTATATTAAAAATTGTCCTGGCTATTCCAAGCTCTATCATTGCAGTCAGCGGGTGTTGCAGTGCTTCAGTCCAAAAGAAGTGAAATAAAAAGCGCCCATCCATAAAAAAAAAGTGTCTCACAACTTTAGCAAAGGAAAACCAGTCTCCTCTTGGCTTATATCGAAATCCTCCGACATTCTTCTTTACAAATCCTTGTTTTGTACTTCTAATTAGTGACCGTTGTTTTGTTTTGATCTCTCCCCTGCGCTTCCGCGTTCGTCACTTCTGAGCAGCGCATGCATAACTCCGACCTCATACGTCATCCGCCCGGAACTGCTTCCGTTTACAACAGTGAGCGCAAGCTAGATTAAATTGATTCTTACATTATAAATATGGGTATTTTTCTTACAAAAACGCATCAATTCGCTACAGGAGGCCTTTGTTCACCCTCCGGAGCCGTGAGAGACACTTTTTTTTTTTTTTTTTTAAATGGATGGGCGCTTTTTTT